GAAGATATGCATGCAGCTGAAGCCTCCTCACAATCTTTCATAGACATTATTATTATTATTATTATTATTATTATTATTATTATTATTATTATTATTATTATTATTATTATTATTATTATTATTATTATTATTATTATTATTATTATTAAAATTATTATTATTATTATTATTATTATTATTAGTATCATTATCATTATCATTATCATTATCATTATCATTATCACATTTTCGCCCCCCCCCCCACCCCGAGGACCCGAAGTGGGTCAATGACCTTGGTATTATTACCAAGGCTGATAAGTCTAATGCCATTGTAATTTTGGATAAAAGTGACTACAATGATAAGATGAATTCATTACTTAGTGATGAAAGCACTTATTGTGAGCTTACGAAAGATCCCCTGGAAAATATTAATAAGTTATCTAATTCCAAAATGAAGATGTTATTAAAAAAGAACCCCGATCTCATCAAACAGCTCTCTCAAATCAATCCCACTTTACCTTATATGTATGGATTGATCAAAACACACAAGCCTAACAATTCATTACGTCCTATCGTGAGGTCTGTGGGTTCTGTTACTTACAAATTATCCAAGTGGCTGGTTAAGATGCTATCCCCTCTTACAGGCCAAATATCTAATTCACTTATACACAATAGCAGTGATTTAATTGATAAACTCAAGAAACATAATGAACCTTGCGAATTAATAAGTTTTGATGTAAATTAACTGTTCACTAGAGTACCTGTGAAAGACCTACTTTCATTTCTTAAAGATATATTACAACTGTTAGATTTAACTATTGAACATGATACTTTCCTCAAATTGATAGAGTTATGCGTAACTGACAATGTGTTTAGAGCAAATGGGAAGTTCTACAAGCAAATATTTGGCATGAGCATGGGTAATTGTCTTTCTGCTCCTCTAGCCTGTATTTATATGGAGTTTTTTGAGTCTAGATTACTACCCAATATAGTGGACTTTATTCCTCCATGGTATAGATATGTAGATGATGTTCTTTGTCTTTGGCCTAGAAACAGTGACCCATTGGAATTATTAGACAAGCTTAATGATATTGTCCCAAGTATCACATTCAAAATTGAAAGAGAAATAAATGGATCCCTTCCATTCCTTGATATGCTTATCATGAGAAATGGCCAAAACTACAAATTTAAGGTATACAGAAAGCCCACACAGGTAGATAGTTTCATACACTTTTTATCTAAGCACCTGGAGTCTACCAAAATGTCAGTTTTTTCTGCTATGTTTTTAAGATGTCTGTGTATTTGTGATTCTGAATTTATTGACGATGAATTGAAACACATTCGTTCCATTGCACAAAAACTCGGGTACCCTTCTGTGTTTGTTGATCGTTGTTTTAAAAGGGCTAAAAAATCCTTTCATTCCTCTCAAACCAGGCAAATTCCTACACTTAAGAATATATTGACTCTGCCCTATCGTAATGAATTTGTCCCGTTAGTTCGGTCCCTCAAGCTACTAAATATTAATGTTGTTTTCAAGTATGACTCAACCATTACCAATATGTTAATTAGAAATAGCCCAAGTTTGAATGTAAATGGAAGTGTTTATTGTATTCCATGTAGCAAATGTAATGGTAATTATGTAGGACAGACAGGAAAAACACTGCAGCTCAGAATCAAACTACATAAGTATAATATCAGAACTGCATCTGAAAGCAGTGCCCTGTTCGTTCATGTTAGGAATAATAATCATCCCATTGCTTGGGAAAAAAGCTTAGAAGTATTTAAATCATCTTGTGTCACAGAAAGATTTTTCTGGTTGAAGCTAGTTTGATTAAGGAATTACAATCAATAAACCTTAGTGATGGTCAGTTCAAAACTGATATGTTACATAAATTTATTTGTCAGTGGCCCAAGGTTAAAAATGCTCTGAAAACCTTTGATCTAGATGTATGATAGTTATTTAGTGGGTCCCTTATTTTTGACCTGACCTGACTAGTCATGTCACCCCCTTCTCTTAAGCTCCTCTACGTGTGTGTTGGTGTGGGGATTAGTGGATGACATCATTATGACCTGACCTCATGTTTAATAAGGTCACCCTGTATATTTAAGCCTCTCTCTGTCCATGTAATCCAGTTGCCTCTGAAGATGTCTTGAATGAAGACGAAAGCTAAGGTGCTCCGTTGTTTCCCTTTTCCCGTGTGATTTTATCAAGATATATATATATATATATATATATATATATATATATATATATATATATATATATATATATATATATATATATATATATATATATATATATATATATATATATATATATATATATATATATGTATATATATATACAGTATATATATATAAATAAAAAAAAAAAAAATATATATATATATATATATATATATATATACATATATATATATATAAATATATATATATACGTATATATATATATATATATATATATATATATATATATATATATATATATATATATATATATATACTGTATATAAGTATATGTATATATATATATATCTTGATAAAATCACACGGGAAAATGGAAACAACGGAGCACCTTAGCTGGGAACTTCGTGTTTTCTTCTTTCCTTGTGGTTATCAGCATATACCTAGATCATGCGCACCTACAGTGATTTACTTGCATATATAAGAACATAAGAAAATAAGGAGTCTGCAATAGGCCGGTTGGCCTGTGCATGGCAGCTCCTGTCGAGAGTTACTACCACTCTCTATCATCCATGAATTTATCTAGCCTCCTTTTGAAACTTTCCAGCGTTCTAGCACTTACTACAAAGTTGCTAAGCTTGTTCCACTCGTCCACCACCCTATTTGTGAACCAGTTTCTTCCTATCTCCCTCCTGAACCTAAACTTATCCAACTTGAATCCGTTACTCCGAGTCCTATCCTGCTCGGATATTATAAGAACTTTATCTATATCCCCTTTATTGATTCCTTTCACCCACTTAAATACTTCTATCATATCTCCCCGCACTCTTCGTCTTTCTAGGGAATGCAAGTTGAGTTTCTTTAACCTATCCTGATATGGAAGGTTTCTAAGTCCCGGAATCATTTTTGTCATTCTTCGCTGCACCGACTCTAGTGAATTTATATCCATTCTATAATAGGGGCACCAGAACTGAACCGCATAATCGAGGTGCGGCCTAACTAGCGCAAGATATAATTGCAATAAGACCTCTGCACTCATGTTACTTACTCTTCTAGATATAAAACCCAATACTCTGTTTGCCTTATTTCGAACATTAACACACTGTTTTCTAGGCCGTAGGTCCGGGCTTACAAGTACCCCTAGGTCTCTTTCACAAGTCGACTTCTCTAGGTTGATGTTGTTTAGGCTGTATACATTATAAGTATTTGTTCTTCCAATATTAAGTACGCTGCACTTGCTGGTGTTGAATTTCATTTGCCATTTTTCAGACCACCCCTGCAGTTTATTTAGATCCTCCTGTAATGCATTTGCATCCTGCCCTGAATTAATTTGCCGCCCTATTTTGGTGTCATCCGCAAACTTGCTTATGTCACTGCTGACCCGAGCATCTAAATCGTTTATGTAGATTATGAACAAGAGTGGGCCTAGTACTGACCCCTGGGGAACCCCACTGGTTACACGGCCCCACTCAGATTTAAGAACAAGAGTGGGCCTAGTACTGACCCCTGGGGAACCCCACTGGTTACACGGCCCCACTCCTTTTGAAACTTTCCAGAGTTCCCGCACTTACTACAAAGTTGCTAAGCTTGTTCCACTCGTTCACCACCCTATTTGTGAACCAGTTTCTTCCTATCTCCCTGTATATATATATATATTGTATATATATATATATATATATATATATATATATATATATATATATATATATATATATATATATATATATATATAAATCTAACTCGTTTCTTTCAGGAGCATGAAGTGGGATATTATTACCCCTTATTAGAGGTAACCTTAACACATAACGAAATACTAATAAACATTCCACTAAAATCACAAAAGATTTATAATACTTGGCATTTGGAACCATTTCCATTAAAGGCAAATGAAGATCTTTTGATTCCAAACAAACAAACTGGACTAATATTTGTTTCAGAAGATTTTTCGTTAGTTGCAGTGACTAAGCCTGAAGTCCTGAATCATTGTAAATCAACATACTTACACTTGCATATATATTCTGCTTATGCTTTTGCGTTTCACACGGGCTGCTGAGGCTACATTTGAATTAGCTATTATACAAACTAATGCCTCTACAGCTCTACAACAATGTGAATTCACTCCAATACCATATAGGTTAGTGTTTCCCGCATATGTCAATAATATGTAATATCTTTACTTCCTAAATCAAACCAGTGTGATACTTATGTGCCTCGATGTAGTTAAACATTTAGTAGCGGAAGGTTATCATGTAGCACCGGACTATTGTGACATTAGCAGTAATGCAATCATGACCTTGCCATCATCTTGCATTTGTCACAAATATTACTTCTGAACTGGTACCCATACCATTTTTCCTGAATATAAATTTCAGCAGTCTTCATATTGTATCGGTTAAGCTTAAACTTCTTCCTTATATTAATGAAACACAATTTACTGACTTACCGGATTCTCTTCCTTTATATTTATCTTCCTGTATAATCCTACCTGTTTTCATTATACCTGTCATCATATTTATCAGTTCCTTGAGTGTTATGATAATTTGTTACAGAAATATTTCTTCTTGGTACAAAGTAATTTATAAGAGGATTTTTCGGAAGGAATTGCAAAAAGAAAACGTTTAGCTAAAGCACACTTTATTGTAACAAGGTTAGGTACACCTCGGTTTTAAACCCAGAGGTCTCGGCTGGAGGTGGCCGAGCAGTGTAATAGCACCCTTACATGGTATAAAAACTGATCCAAATGTATAACCATAAATTATTCACTAAGTTATTCAACCATGCCTCAGTTAGTGGCATTAAACACGGCTGAGGCTGTAGTTCCTTCAAAGGGCGGGGGAAGGTCAACCAAACCCTAACACCTGGTCCACTCAACTTTCTCACTTCATAGTGACAGGAGAGAGAGCAGAGACTTATCACTATTCAACGAGTGAACACCTCACTTCAGTGTTCTCCATAAGTGTACACAATACACTTCCCCTGGTAGAGAATACATGATATATTCTCAACAAAACTAAATACCTCTGTTTATAGTATGTTTTCTACAATGAAAAAAAGAACAGAAAAGTGTCTACATCAATCCTGCCATTTAAGAGTTCCAGTACTAATTTAAAGCAATTAATGTAATACCAAAAGAGCTATTACAAGGTCACTCTCACATAATTTCTACCATGTTGACATCAACAGCTGCGACAGGTGTCTTGGTGTATGACGATGGTGGTGGTGAGCGACGACCCAGCCTTCCTCGCCGCCTTCGCCGAGTGGTCCCTCAAGGGCCGCCTCCTGGTGTGGTCGACGAGGCTCCTCGTCGTCACACACCTGCCCCTCTCGGAGGTGCGAAACCTCCTGACCTCCCATTGGATTTTCTCTATGATGAACACCACGTTGGTTATCTTGGAACAGATGTTAAGGCAACCCAGGTAAGGTGTGATGGGATTGCTGGTGTTGATACCGGTAATAGACAAATTAGAACCACCAAAAAACACTTTGGAAAGGACAATTCTAATAAGTGCGTTTTGCATTGATAAACATAAATACGATATAATTTTCAGTAAATATACTTCTCATCCTAAATTTCAGCAAAGAATGAAACATTGAACTCGTATTAATTTAAGTAACCACAATATGTAAATTTGTGTGGAACCTAAACAAGCACTTTTTTCTCTCTTTTTTTCGCAAAAAACAAACAAACATTCTTTGGTTATATTAATCACAATCATTGAAGTTTGACGACCAAAATTAAAAGAAGTATTTTTTTTAAATACTGTACTGTACTGTACTGTACTTAATATATTCAAAATATGTTTTGATATTAACACATGCGAATTACCGTCTCCTCATTTAATATTGTGTATTTAATTTCAAGTTTCAGTGTGTATGTCAACCTCCCGTACACAATGTTTGGGGCCAGAATAGTGAGAACGGCATTCTGGACGACGAATCGTGGCCTGGTACTGATAAACAAATTCCACCTTTTCCCTGATAAATTCAGCAAGTATGTATATAATTATGAGTTAAACGTTTGTTACATATATCTGGAGAAAATAAGTCGCTTACAATATTCTGTATTTTTCTTTAATTCCTGTCAATGATCGTTTTGACAAGTGAACAAAGATAAACAATTTACATGACTCTTTATGCAGTTTTCATAAAGCCTGTATAAATGTGACGGCATTGTCATATCGACCATACTGGAGTGTAGAGGAAGAAGAGCACTTGGATGGTACTACCATTAAGAGTTACTCAGGCAGTGACGCCATGCTACTGAAGACCATTGCCCACGCCCTCAACTTTACTTTCCGTGTTCTTCCTGTCTCTTCTTGGGATCAGGTGTGTTGTCACCTTCTACGTTTCCTCCTTAATAACAAACGCCTAAGACTACAGTACTTACCTAAACTCATTATTTTTTATAATAAAAAATGAAACCGTGTGTCGAATTAGTTAAATGAAATATTAACAACGCAATTTAATCTCGAATTCTGTATATTTCTCTTTATAGGTCACAGGTTTGGTGACGGGGAGAGAGTCCTTGATGGCCACAGTGTATCATACAATATTACCACAACGCAGTCTTCTATATGATTACACATATGCCTACGAGCATGTGTTTATGCACTTCACAATGGCCAAACCTTTGCTCAGCTCCAATTGGCAAAGTCTGTACGACCCTCTGGCAGACGAGGTGTGGGTTTCAATCCTCGTGGTCCTTTTCCTGGTGTCGTTGCTGCTATATACGGTATGCACGTTTGGATGCTCTTGTGTGTTATGGTGTGCATATAGGAATACTTTTGTTTATTGTGTTATTTATACACAGAGAGTGGTTAGAAATATTTAAAGTATGTCTTGACTTTGACCCAATGAGTGGGTTTCCTTTTACCTAAATGAAATAGCCTGGCGTTATCCAGAATAAAACACCTAACTGCGACATTACCCCTTAAAAGTTAACACAAACTCTACTTAACATGAATTGAAGACGATCATGGTATTAGGTTTTTTAATATATACAGTAATTATACTCAGTGGCTACCTTCATATAATATGATTCTCGCTCTTACGTTCTAAGAACTGCTCTTAATAACATGTTTCATCATAGTTGGAGTATGTGTATAATGGTAATAGTCAGCATCACTCATGATATGGGAAACTTGTTGAACAACGATTTCTGTCACTTATAATATCCCCAATGGAAATTTTTATGCCATTACTAGTTAATAAAAATGTCCTATATTTTTACTAATTTTCACAATAGAGATAATGAATCTATAGTAAAACTTCATATAGTTACGTTGTAGATAAGAACTGTGTATCATGAGTAACATATGGAGAGCATATACATGTATGAAGAATAAAATATAAAATGTGTTCATTGTAAACGACAATAGGGACGTATTTCTAATATTACGAATGTTGTCTAAGTATATGTTCCACGGAGAAGTAAACCATTAACGGTGATTGGTAAACGCTCATTGTTAGTACACGGAATCCACCAAGATGAAAGTGTATGAACTGGTGGAAAGTAAAACACGGATTAATCTTATTTATCAGCAGATTGCACGACTAGCGCATAGAAGACAATTTGATAACAAAATTAATGCCGGAGACGCAGCTCACATAGCTATTGGAACTTTGCTGGCCCAGAGTGTCAACAAATACCTTTTGAGCAGCTCGAGCCAGGTGTTGGTGGCGGCTTGGTTGGTATTCGCCTTCATCGTGGGGACGGCTTACCGCGGCAACCTCACCGCCGCCCTCACACTGCCCAAGTACCCGCCCAGACCAGAGACTCTAGAGCAACTCGTCAGGGTCGCAGACAAGTAATAATATTCTTTTGATATCACACACACACACACACACACAATGTTCAACAATTTCACAAATCTCAACATTTCGATGGTTAATCAATGTCACCTGATGACAATCAACTAAGTGAAACCTTAGGAAACGTGTGTTACCTAACTGTGGTTAATTATGAGAATATCTAGGGATAATATAAAAATAAAGCAAGAAGACTGGTAGAGAGGTTAAATGCAGATATATTTGATTAACTTAAGAAAACAAATATATTCAAGGTGCCATTAAACTAAATAGGGATAATTGCCGATTATATATAACCTCTTTGTATCTATGTTTTAGGAAAGTTCTGACTGGCCATAAACGATCATGTAAATCATAAAAATGCACATATAGGTAAATTTTCATACAGAACCTAACCTAACGTGACCTATTCTGCCCTAACCTAACCTTAGCAATTTACTTTACGTACAATCTTTCAATCTTATGATAGTAAATGACGCTTTAATGACAAAAATTTTTACCACGTAAAAATTAATTTCGCTTCAGTTGTAGCTATAAAAACAAAAAGTTATCCCTACTCCGAAAATCTTCAGTTGCCTTCAAGACTTAACCGGTATCTTTCTCTATATATCGTGTGTGTGTGTGTGTGTGTGTGTGTGTGTGTGTTTGACACTAAATAGGGAAAACTGCCGCTTCGGCCTTTAAAACCAAGTGTAGTTTTTGGAGAATAAGGATACATGTTTGTCTCTACTGCTATAACAAAATATATAAAGCGTCGTTTACTATCATAAAAATGCAGAATTTTACCTTAAGTTACTTAGGTTAGATTATGTTAGGTTAGGTTAGGTTACGTTACGTTAGGTTAAGTTAATTTAGGTTAGGTTAAGTTAAGTTAGGTTATATTAGGTTTCATATGAAACCTACGTGATCATTTCTTGCCAGTCAGAAATTTTCCCCAAAAGATTAAAACATAAAAATCATCACTAATCGGTATTGTTTGTATATGGAATGCCACGTGATATATGGACTGATATGCAGATATGCTGATAACCATGTAGGAAACAAGAATACACGAAATTCCCAAGGGCTTTCGTGTAATTCTCATCTTAAGGGGTGAATACAGTCTGTACTCACTCCTGAAGACGTGAATTACACGAAAGCCCTTGGGAATTTCGTGTATTCTTGTTTCCTATGTGGTTATCAGCATATACATGTATCACGCGTCCCAGCAGTGATTTATTGACACACACATACACACACACATATATATATATATGTGTATATATATATATATATATATATATATATATATATATATATATATATATATATATATATATATATATATATATATATATATATATATATATATATATATATTAGACCTAGAATTAACAAATAAAGAAAACATTATCAGAGATATCACAATAGGGGAAAAACTAGGGAACAGTGATCACAGAGAAATCAGGTTCACCCTAAATTGGGGATCGAAAAACAATGACAATATGGTCAGAGTCCCAGACTTTCGATCGGCGGTTTATGAGGGGTTAAGAGGGTACCTGGGTGAGGTCACCTGGGAACAGTCAGGTCAGTCCCCCGGTAGGAACGGGTGAGGTCACAGGCGACACAACAATTGATCATGACTATAATATATTTACTAGTATACTTTGTAAAGCACAAGAACAATATATACCATGCATAAAAATTTGGTGGATGGTCAAAAAACTTAAACATGACATAGGAATAAAGAAAGGAATTTATAAGAAATTAAAGGGATGGGAGGAACTTCTCGGAGATAGGTATAATGAATTTTCGAGGAATGTTAAGAACAATGTAAGGAAGGCAAAGAGGGACTACGAAATCAGGATAGCAAGAGAATCCAAGGCGAATCCCAATGCATTTTTCCAGGTATATAGGACAAAGGTCAAGGACAAAGTGGGAACTTTAAAGTCAGAGAGAAGGGAAGTGATCGATGATTGTGAGAAAATAAGCAAAGCATTAAACAGCTACATCTTATCGGTTTTCACAGAAGAAGTTCACAAGGATATGCCAGAGGTGGAATTGATATTTAGGGGAATGAAGAAAAGAAAGTAAAGAATATCGCTATCAGAAAAGAGGATGTTCTTAAGAAGATAAATAAATTAAAGATGACAAAATCTCCAGGGCCAGATGAAATTTTTCCTTGAGTTTTGAAAGAGTGTAAGGAACAGATTAGCGGACCCCTCGTAAATTTATTTACAAAATCATTAGACACGGGAGTTGTGACAGACTCGTGGAAACAGGCAAATGTAGTAACTATATTCAAAAAGGGAAATAGAGCATCAGCGTCAAATTACTGGCCGATTAGTTTTGACGTCAGTAGTGGGGAAATTTCTTGAATAAATTATAGCAAATAGCATCCGATCGCATTTAGAGAAAACAAATTAATCTAGGACTCTCAACGTGGGTTTATAAAGAGAAAATTGTCGTACAAATGTGCTGACGTTTTGTAGGAAAGTCTTCGAGGTAGTAGATAATGACGAGAATAACGATGCTATTTACTTAGACTTTAGCAAAGCGTTTGACAGAGTACCGCATCAGAGGCTTCTGAGAAAAGATAAGGCTCATGCTATCGGGGGGAAAGTTTTAAATTGGATAAAATCATGGCTCTCCGATAGAACAAAGGGATCAGCGTAGATGGTGTTAATTCTGAGTGGGCCTGTGTAACAAGTGGGGTTCCCCAGGGGTCAGTACTGGGCCCACTCTTGTTCATAATCAACATAAACGATCTAGATACCGGGATCAGCAGTGCAATAAGCAAGTTTGCGGATGACACCAAAATAGGGCGGCAGATTAATTTAATTCAGGGCAAGATGCAAATGCACTAGAGGAGGATTTAAATAAACTGCAGGAATGGTCAGAAAATGACAAATGAAATTCAGCACCAGCAAGTGCAGCGCACTTAACATTAGGAGATTAAATACTGTAAATGTATACAGCCTTAATATCATCAACCTAGAGAAGTCGATTTGTGAAAGAGACTTAGGGGTACTTGTAAGCCCGGACCTACGCCCTAAAAAACAGTGCGTTAATGTTCGAAATAAGGCAATTGAGTATTAGGTTTTATATCTAGAAGTGTAAGTAATAAGAGAGCAAAGGTCATATTGCAACTATATCTTGCGCTAGTCATGCCACACCTGGATTATGCGGTTCAGTTTTGGTGCAGTTATTATACAATGGATATCAATTCACTGGAGTCGGTGCAGCGAAGAATGACGAAAATGATTCCGGGACTTCGAAACCTTCCATATCAAGATAGGTTAAAAAAAAAAATTGCATTTCTTAGAAAGTCGAAGTATTTAAGTGGGTGAAAGGAGTCAATAAAGGAGATATAGATAAGGTTCTTACAATATCCGAGCAGGATAGGACTCGTAGCAACGGATTTAAGTTGGAGACGTTTAGGTTTCGGAGGGAGATAGAACACAAGAACATAAGAAAATAAGGAGTCTGCAATAGGCCGGTTGGCCTGTCCATGGCAGCTCCTGTCGAAAGTTACTACCACTCTCTATCATCCATGAATCTATCTAGCCTCCTTTTGAAACTTTCCAGAGTTCCCGCACTTACTACAAAGTTGCTAAGATTGTTCCACTCGTCCACCACTCTATTTGTGAACCAGTTTCTTCCTATCTCCCTCCTAAACCTAAACTTATCCAACTTGAATCCGTTGCTCCGAGTCCTATCCTGCTCGGATATTATAAGAACTTTATCTATATCCCCTTTATTGATTCCTTTCACCCACTTAAATACTTCTATCATATCTTCCCGCACTTTTCGTCTTTCTAGGGAATGCAAGTTAAGTTTCTTTAACCTATCCTGATATGGAAGGTTTCTAAGTCCCGGAATCGTTTTTGTCATTCTTCGGTGCACCGACTCTAGTGAATTTATATCCATTCTATAATAGGGGCACCAGAACTGAACCGCATAATCGAGGTGCGGCCTGACTAGCGCAAGGTATAGTTGCAATAAGACCTCTGCACTCTTGTTACTTACACTTCTAGATATAAAACCCAATACTCTGTTTGCCTTATTTCGAACACTAACGCACTGTTTTCTTGGCCGTAGGTCCGGGATTACAAGTACCCCTAGGTCTCTTTCACAAGTCGACTTCTCTCGGTTGATGTTGTTAAGGTTGTTGTTAAGGAAATGGTTCACTTGTAGGGTGGTGGACGAGTGGAACAAGCTTAGCATCTTTGTAGTAAGTGCTGGAACGCTGGAAGGTTTTAAAAGGATGCTAGATAGATTCATGGATGATAGAGAGTGGTAGTAGCTCTCGACAGGAGCTGCCATGCACAGGCCAACCGGCCTATTGCAGACTCCTTATTTTCTTATGTTCTTATATATATAATAATCACACATAGAGGAAAATGGACAACACGAAGCTCCAAAGTGCTTTCGTGCAAATCACATCTTCAGGGAGTAGCTAATAGAAAGGCAAATATGTAGAGTAAAGGAGTGTGAAAGCAAGTCTCTAGGGACGGTAGGTGTCGTCCATACTTGGGTCACTAAGTATTTACTCAATCCTTTGCTTAATGACAAAATTATCCAATTTCTCCATGCCATTACAGATTCAGTATGTTTAATGAGACAAGATTCCTTAATGTTCCTATTCATACTTTAATTGATATACCTGTACAAGGTAAAATTGAGGAGGCATTATCCCAGTCACTGCAATGAATTTTATCTCTCATATGAATGAAGCAACACATTGGATTACTGGCCTGTCCTAACACTATATTTAAGCTGCTTGAGTCTAGTTCTAAGACCTTTGCCCGTTTGCCCTAAGTAGAACATACTACATTCTTTGCAGCCACCTACATGCTTGGAGAATTCTTAATTAACATTTGCTGTAAAGTACAGTTGCCTCTGAAGATGTCTTGAATAAAGACGAAAGCTAAGGTGCTCCGTTGTTTCCATTTTCCCGTGTGATTTTATCAAGATATATATATATATATATATATATATATATATATATATATATATA